AGCTCCAGCTCCAGCAGCCGCTCCAATCTAGCACCGCCGGCCCGGCCCTGGGGGACGAGGACGACGACCCGGCCGCCTCATGGAAGGTACGAACTACGGCCCCTCTATATCGCTCTCCGCTGGACTTAGTTTCCTTCTTGGGGGTAGATTCATAGCTTCCGTTCTAGATCTGCCCCGGGGTTTCCCTGAGCTGTAGCAGTTTGGGCCGCGCTGTTTCGCCTGGATTTTTCTCCCCCCGGTTCAAGCACCTTTGTCGAAGCACAACAAATCCTGGGCGGATTGCTTGTGCTGCTCTTTGATTTTTCTTGATTCTATTGAGAGGATGTGGCGGTGCGATTTGGGAGAGCTGCAGGCAAAGGTTCAATTTTTCGCAGGCTTAAGACCCTTAGGACCCCGTCCTTTGATTTTAGCTTCGTTTCTTCGAATGCGGTGCTTGCTGCGCGGGGTTTGTAGTTAGCTTGATACATGGCGAACATAAGCTGTGTCGCATGCTATGAGGTGGGCTGTGAATGTTTTGCAGCTGATGTGTGCTTGCTGATAAGATTTAACGTATTTCAAGGCTGGACCAGTTCATTTTGAGAATGTATCGTACTCAGTTTTAGGTTTCAGGAATCAGGATTGTGTGAACGAAATTGAGATGGGTATATTCTTCTATGCAGAAGGGAAAGCAAGTCCAGTCTAGTCCAGTCCTGTCCTGTGGGTTAACTTGAAAATGGTATTATGGAAACTACAAATCCACAGCTCCCCAATCACAAGTTCAGTTGGATATACCACATTTTAAATTCATCGTTGCACAATTAGCCACCTAAGTTTCTGAGTTTGTGTGGTGTTCAAGCATAAGATCCCATGTATACTTCGGTCAGCAGCAATGCTATGTTCCTGTGCCCCCTTGTGACACAATATAAATGAAGTAAAGATTGCAAAATGTAGGACTGTCAATTCAGTTCATTTGGAATTTCAGTCATTTGAGATCTATACAAAGCAGAAGTTGATATCGTACATTTTTAAACCCGTAAACATCTACAGTGTCCTTGCATGAGTGACTACCATGGTACAATCTTTGGCACTGGCAGACTTATCAAGTTTCACTGTTTTTTTGTGATGGTGGTGGTGGGGGTAGGGGGTGGAGGGATATGCTCATGTAAAGTTTCGTAGAAGGAATGAAGGATAGGATGGGAGTACTACTTTTGGTTACTCAGAATTCTATTGTCCAGTAAATAAAGTTACTGCTCATATTTGGTTATCTCTGATTCTCTGTGTTTCTTGGGTTTCTAATTCTAGTGATCATTGTGGTAAATTCAGGTTGACTTGGGAAGTCATTTTTGTTAGTAGATTGGTGATTGTTCTCTGATCGTCCTGAATATGGGGTCCATATTTAAGTTTCTATGCTTTTTTCTTTGACTTGTATGGACTTGTTAGGTACCTCCAGAAAAATCTCCAAGAAAACCATGCCCATATATGATTGTACTGGTATTGTGTTTAGGTATTGATTGATTAAACCAAGTAGACATCTTTGTAGAGTAACTTCTATGTGCCAGTTTTCCTTGTGATGTATTGTTTCATGGTACACTTGCTATCTTCAGTACACTATTGTTTATCTGCGACTTGTCGTTTCATCGCTCATCTTGGATCCCAGAGTTTCTCGAAGCTTTCATATTATATCATCCATCTGTACAAACTTTACACTTGGTAACTGAGGGATTTGACATAATTTTGCAGACCAATCGCCTGACCATATATCAGTCGGTTCAGCACCAAAGAAGTCTAGTACTTCCTCACGAGGCCGGCACCGTAATTTCTCGTCATCAACATGCAAAGATTTTCTCCGGAAGTTTGTGGACAGTGAACTTTTAACTTCAAGCCTTGAGGATTGGTTCTCTGGTCACAGTGAAGATTGTGGTTTCAGGAAGCCAGCTTTTGATGTTCCTTTCGACCTTACTGAATTACAGAATTTTGATTATGCTCTGGAGGGTGTTACTTTTCAGCAGCTAGTAAGGATGCCAAATGCTCTATATGCGTCAACATCAGATGTTTTTGAAGCTACTGCATATCTTGCTTTGGAGGATTTCCTTCATGCAGGCATTAAAGGATTGTGGGAAACTTTCTGGGGCCCTGATGAGGCAATGCCTTCCTCAGTTGCCTGTATACACAGCTCAAGTTCCAAGTTTTATCCTGCTGAGAAGGCTATTAGCAGTGGAAAACTCGATGGTGTTTGTGCAACTTCTGTACTGCTGAAGAATTTGAAGAATTCACAAGGAAGATGGGATCATATTGTCGTGTTGGCTTTGTTGAGACCTGATATTGGAATGGTTTCTGCACAGGGTGACCAGGAGCCATCTCCTGCAGTCTTAGGGGAGGCACTGTTCTTTGCTTTGCGTGTCCTACTATCTCGAAGCCTTAGCAGACCCTCCACTGTTCTTCGCAATTCAGACTGTGTTTACTTGCTTCTTGTTGATTCACAGTTTGGAGGAGTGGTAAAAGTGCAAGGTGATTTGAACAAGCTGGATTTTGATCTGAACAATGTTTATGACTGTGCTGCTGAATGGATAAAGACACATGCCAAAATTTCAGTTTCTTCCATAGATCTAGTTTGGAACAAACTTGGGAATGCTAACTGGGGAGACATTGGGACCCTTCAGGTTCTCTTTGCAATATTTCACTCAATGATCCAATTTTATGGAGAGCCTAAGTATTCTCTCGATGAACTGGCAACAGAACATAGTTCCAGGCTACAAAGTCGAAGATCAGAAAGACATTTGGTGGACAGACAAGCTAATGGTAACGGTTTATTTCGATTCCAACAGCGAAGCCATTCTCCTGAAATTGTCGAAGTACAGGAGGAAGCAGCTGTTGATGTGAAACCACACGAAACCTTAAGGCTTGAAATAGGATCTGTTGTATTGATGGATGATGCTTACGTACAGAAAGGTTTTCTAATCAATGACATCCTAACAGACAGTGATCCTCCTATTTATACTTCGACTCCTGTAGAAGAACCTACCAAAACCTACTTGCTGTATGTAGGCTCCAGCCCTTCTCATTTGGAACCAGCATGGGAGGATATGAACTCCTGGTACCAAGTACTGAGGCAGACCAAAGTACTGACTGTGATGAAGCAAAGATGCATTTCTAGCAGATATATACCACAGATGGTATCTTCTGGACGGGTCATCCATCCAGGCCCATGTAACAAGCCTAACTCAAATGGAAGCTGTGGTCATCCATGGTGCAGTACTCCAATGCTTGTCACCTCACCAGTTGGTGAGACCATTTCAAATCTGATACGGAATGGATTGTTCGGTGTTGAGGAGGCACTGAGATGTTGCCATGATTGTTTATCTGCTCTTGCTGCAGCAGCATCTGCAGGAATCCGTCATGGTGATTTCCGGCCAGAGAATGTGATCCGTGTCAATAATGGTTCAAGGCATCCATATTTTGTGCTTATTGGATGGGGTCATGCTATCCTAGAAGATAGGGATCGGCCAGTAATGAATCTATTCTTCTCATCTACATTTGCGCTCCAGGAAGGAAAACTATGTGGAGCATCTGACGCAGAAAGTTTAATTTATCTCCTATATTTCTCTTGTGGTGGAGTTTGCCCCGAGCTTGACTCTGTTGAAAGTGCACTTCAGTGGAGGGAGACGTCATGGTCGAGGAGAGTTATACAGCAGAAGTTGGGCGACATCTCAGCAGTGTTAAAAGCTTTTGCGGATTATGTCGACAGCCTTTGTGGAACTCCATACCCGATGGACTATGAGATCTGGTTGAAACGACTGCGAAGAACAATAAATGAAGATCATGGGAAGGAGGTCGACACGTCCTCAAGTTAATACTGCAGCACATTTTCTTGCAAACCCAAAATTTGGAAGATCAAGAGTGATCAGCCCATTACCTTTTGTTGTTGTTGTTGTAGATAATTTATTTGTGAAAGGTCCATAGGTCATAGTAATGTTCATCGTTTTGCACAATTTCTTGGATATAAGGGTATTTTAAAAGTTGCATTCTGCTGCTGCTATCCTCAATGGGATCACTGTTAATGTTTTCTATTCCGTGGTCTTGCCTTCAGCCCTTCACACAGGAGATCCTTGAGGATATCAGCAACATGATGTATTTTGTGAATCTTTGGTAAATTGGTGAGCCTGTGTTCTGGTTGCCTTCAGAGATTCTGGTCCCATTTTATTCGGTTCTGGTAGGCTTCAGGATGATTTTGTTTTTCTTGTGATAAGTGTCTAAACTGTCAATCAGTTGGTAAATTTGTAACTGCTCTAGAATAGAGGTTACATGGTAGCATTTTGAGCTTGACTAAGTTATTTGTTGGGTGCGATGTTTGAATTATTTGTTGGGTGCGATGTTCAAGGTCATGTAAATGATGTTCTATTGAACTGCTCAAACTCTTATCCTGCTACTGTTCTTAAATCTCTCTGTGCGTGGGCTGTGGGGGTACTACTTTGCCCCATGCATCAAGAAATGCCTTGATGGTGATACTATCTTTGTTTGCAACAAGAAACACTGATGCGTGTGCAATTGTTTCACCTTTCATTGACTTCATGGAATGATGCCACATGCTCCTAGGTTCTGTTGTAATGAGTGTTTTGTTCCCAAATAGTCTGTTAACATGGCCTGTCCAGGTTTTGAACTCGTTGCAGATTGCTTCAAATTGCAGAACTGAACCCCTTAAAACAGCCGCTTATACGAAACATGATTTGCTGAGACTGCAACGCTGCATCATGATGGAAAATAAGGATGCGCTTGGAGGAATTTCTGTAAAAGTAATAATATGAGCTTGTGCAAATGCTGATTCTTTCTTGTAATTCACATTCCACAACGACCGTAACAGTGACTCAAATCATTCAAAAAAGTTTTCCCAAAATGATTGAAAAAAGTTTTTTTTTTTTTAAAAAGTAGTATGAGCCAGGTAAATCTAAGTGTCAGTAGACACACACTTCTCTGCCGTCGCCCCTCGTCTCACGCCGCTTCAATCCAAGGAAACCAGCGGACAGATGGCGGCCGCCGCCGCGTACTGGCGGGTGTTGAAGGCGGTGCATAAGCACGTCGGCAGCGGCGCTTCCCGGCAGCGCTTTCGGGACTTCGTCACCGCCGAGTTCCGCGCCCCCACCGGTACGGAGGCCGACGCCAAGGAGAGGCTGCAGCTCGCCGGGGACTACCTTACCTCTTCACCAGCGTCCACCAGCACAAGGTAGGGGATTGATCGCCATGTTTCTGAGTGTTCGATGAAATGCTCAAGAAGAGTTTACCTCTCACTTCGTCTAAATGCCTCTCTCGATGTGCTATGCGTTGCCTAAAAAAACAATCATTAATCAGCTAATTGTAAAACATGCCAAAAATTGCATATTTGAGTTCACTATGTAGGAAGCCAATATTGTGGCAGCAAAATAAAGAATGTGGAAGGAAAGGACAGGGAAGAACAAGTAGCATATGCAATTGAGTACAAAACTTCTCTTAGGCCCCGTTTAGATCATTGGAATTGAATTTATTTTAATAATTATAATTTAGGCACAGATTAATTAAGCCAACATGGTTGTATATCAAATATATTTGTATACTATTGTTAGTCATACAAGGGAGATACTTATATGATAATAAAACAAGTTTAAGAGCATGCTATAAGTTGTAGAGTAGAAATAACACGGTGATCTATATAATTCATTTTCATCTCCCACACTTTGAATTTGAGATAGGCTTATTTATGAGCTTGAGAAAGTCGTGAAATGTCAAATTCTAAGGCAAATAACCTAATCTATTGAGTAGATTCCAATTCCTTTAAAATAAAGGGATCCAAACGGCCTCTTATTGAAAAAATGTACTGTAATATGCAAGGCAGGATAAACCATGCAAAATTAATCATTATGCTTCTGAAACCATGATGCAATGATGGGGAAAAATCATATGGACGAATTATCTTGCTGCTTCTGAAACATGGCATATATCAACCATTGGTCCAGTTTAGTTTCAGCTTCATGTGATTGCTGAGCCGTTCCACCACCACAGGAGTAATAATAATCTGTTAAGTCTTCTGATAACCTTTATTCTGCGGAGTTCTGCATTAAAGTCAATAAGGTATATCCAATTATAGGCCATTAGCATTTGGTAAGAGCTCGCATACAAACTGATTTAGAATTAGGATTTCTCCGCGATCTTTTCTTTTGGGTTAGAATCCATATGTTTTAATTACAACACCCACGGTGACTGCTGATAAGGGTTCCGTTTTTCTTGTTGTAACTGGATTTGTTTTCCTAATAGTAGCTGGATCAGGATCGGAGTCGGAAACTATAGGATATCATAATGTAATAAGCACGGAGACTATGTATATATAAATATAAATAAATGTAATGGACAAGAAGGAAGAAAGAGATCTTATAGTTGTAAAAAATACTTATATATAATATCGAAAAGTCAGTCGCAACTCAAAATGAAACGTCCCCGCATCTGTTGTCCCCATGGCCACGATGGGCATGGCGACCGGCGGCTCACAGCTGGTCCTCACTCCCCGGCGATCTCCTAGAGCAGATCTCCCACCACCTGTCCACCGATGCCGACCACCTCCACATCCACCAGGTCTGCGCGCACTGGCGAGCCTCCACCTCTCCCCCGACCGCCTTCCGCCCGTGGGTCGTGGCCCGCCGCACGGGCCGGAGCAGCCGATTGCCAGTGCCAGCACCCGGCCGCTACTCCGTCTGGCAGCTCCCTCACCGCCGCGTCCAGCACGAGGTGGAGATCCGCGACCCCCCGGCCGGGATCCCGTACTGCTTCGGTGCGTCTCGCGGCTGGCTCGCCCTAGGCGACAGCGCGCGGTCCCCCACGCGGCTCGTGCTGTGGGACCCGGCCTCCGGCGCCGAGCTCCGGCTCCCGCCCCTGGGCGACCTCGTCCAGGTCTTCCTCTCCGGAGACCCGCTCGCGTCGCCGTCGTCGGACTGGGTGGCGGTCGCGACCCAATTGTGGCGCCGTTACCATGCCCTTAAATCCGACTTTGATTTGCTTTTTTTTCGATGAGAAACAGTGTTTTTTTCTCATATATTTCTTCAGCATTCCTCGGAACCACCGTTCAAATTCCTCCTGGCGAACAGACCCTCTATGGCAACCAGGGGGCGCAGAAGTCCTTCTGACGGCCTGGGGACGCCGCCTGGAGCGTCCTGCCCGAGCGAGCTACCGCGGGGATCGAGACCGTCGCGTTCCACGGGGGGAGGGTATACTACATGGACTGGAGGTGGGTCCTCGTCGTCTGCGACATCAGCCTCACGCCGCCGGCGCCGGCGCCGCCGCGCGTCTGGCTCATGAACATCAGCCGACACATGTTCCGGCGCTGCAGCTGCCAACACTACCACGGCATGCAGAGATGGTGACGTGCGCCGGCGAGCTGCTGCTCGTCATTCTGCGCGTGGTGGGCGGCCACCCGTCCTTCGCCGAGGTGTATAAGACGGAATGGACGCCGGAGAATATGCTGGAGCTCCGCGACAGAGTGACGGACCTCAGCGTCCACTCTCTCTTCCTCGGTCGCGGCGAAAGCTTTGCCCTTTCTGCCAGGGAGTACCCTGCTATCAAGAGAAACCAGTAAAGTGGCCTGTTCGTTTGGCTTGGCACTTCAAGCACGTTCTGGTGACGGCACGCTAACAGAGTGGGCATTTGTGTATGACCTGAGCTCAGATACTTCGAAAGAAATTCACCACCCGAAAGAGCTCAGGGAGGACGGGACCAAAATTTGGCGGCCACTTTACTGGTTATGTCTCAGAAGCTAATACAAGAAGAACCAGCAACAATAAACTCTGCAACTGGTTCCAAGCTGTTTCTAACCTACAGCCCTATAGCCTGTTCGGTTGGCTGGTTCGTTTTGTTGCAGGTTCGTGAAGAAGTACTGCTGGCTGGTTTATGTGAGAGAAAAATACTGTTCCGGCTGAAAATTTACGATCGTTTACGACAAGCCACAGCCAAACAAACAGGCTGCTATTTGCTACTAGATGCATTTTGACCTTCTGGGCGTGTGCAATACAAGAAACACACACTTAAAATATAGCTAGTAGCTAGGGCTCATGCTTCAAATGCAAGTATATATAAACTTATAAGATCATATGAGATCTGTACAGTCCTGTTTATGATCTTCATTTTCTCAGAAGGTCTGACGGGACCAATTGGTGGCCACATTACAATTTACAATTACCGATTCTGACATTCGTAACTGAGGCTTAGTAAATTCTGCTAATCTATCCAAGGTGCCAAATGTTACTGTTAGACAGATGAATTTATGAATGCACTATGAAAACATTCAAGGTGCTCTGAAATGACATTCAGCATATCAGCACTTGGAGCTCTGCCAGATGGTGATTAACCTCTGTGACTACTCACTGTTTGTCGTCTGATTCATTTGCCCTGTTTGCAAAGGGGTTTCCTGCCACCAAGGCCATGTTTAGTTGCCCCAAATTCCAGAATTTAGCACTATGCAAAAAAAAGATTCCCCGTCACATCAAACTTACTGTACATGCATGAAGTACTAAATGTTGACGAAATCAAAAACTAATTACACAGTTTGGTTGTACTTTACGAGACGAACATTTTGAGTCTAATTAGTCAACGATGGAACAATCATTAACAAATAAATATAAAATGCTACAGTACGCAACAGTGTCGCTACAGTACATAGGATTCCGGCGGCGCCGAATCCAGGGCCGAACTAAACGTGGCCCAAGAGAAAGTATGTATACTGTGCAGACAGATATCACGAGCAACACTACTGTGTCTGTGTTCCATTTGAAATCATGCTTTTTATAATGAATTCCCTACCCTGAAGAGCTTTGGAAGACGGGAATCGACTGAATACTGCCCCCTGAAGTGGCAGTGAACTGAAGTCATTGGGATTTGGGAATAAGTTACATCATGCATTCAAGGGCATGTTCAGAATGCAGTAATCTCCTTAGGAACTTAGTATTAAAGATTTTACCATGGTAGCCACTGTTACAAAGGAAATGTAGATGTTTATCGTTTCAAAATATATGATACCGACTTCTGCTTTGTACTCCGAATGAACTGAACTGTATTGACATTCCTACATTTTGCAACCTTTACTTCATTTATATTCTGTCACAGGAGGGGGGCGCAAAAACATAGCATTGCTGCGGACCGAGGCATCAGGCATACATGGCATCTATGCTTGAATTGCACAAAAACTCAGAAACTTAGGCTGCTGAATGTACAATGAATTCTAAACTGTGGTATTGTTCAACTGCACTTGTGACTTGCGAGGCGTGGATGGTATTTATGTAGTATCATTTTGAAACTAATCCACGGGAGTGTACTTGCTTTCCCTTCTGCATGGTAGAATACCCATGTCAATTTCGTTCACTGATCACACACATGATACTCAAACCTAACAGAGTCGCGTAATCCTAAAATTGAATTGGACTGACATTCAAATAACTTAATCTTATGCATACTACAGGCATACATATCACCAGCAAAACATTCACAGGAAACCCATATAGTATGTAAGAGGGTTTAATTTCGCTCCATATCAAGCACACAAGCACTCTATTAGGGACAAGACTTGAATCAAGCATCACATTTTCGAAGTTAAAATCAAAGGTTGGGATCCTAAGGGTGTGAAGCCATAACTTGGCGATACCAAATCGAACCCTTGCCTGCTGCTCTCCCAAATCCCACCGCCATATATCCACTCCAAGAATCAAGCAAAAAAATAATAATAAAAGAGCAGCACAGGCAATCCAACAAGAATTTGATGTACATGTGTATTGTACTGCTTCGACGAAGGTGCAGGCCTCAACCGAGGAAAAAAAATTCCGGGCGCGCCCAAACTCGTACAGCTCGGGGAAACCCCGCGGCAGATCTAGAATGAAGGAAAGCTATCTACCAAAGAAGGAATCCAAGTCCAGCAGAGCGAGAGCAAGAGAGAGAGAGAGAGAGAGAGAGCTCGGAGCCGTACCTTCCATGAGGCGGCCGGGTCGCCGTCCTCGTCACCCAGGGCGGGGCCGGCGGCTGCAGGGGCACTAGATTGGAGCGCCTGCTGCTGGAGCTAGAGCGGTAGGGCGACTACTCCCAACTGCCTCCGCGCTCCGTGGTCGGTGGACGGCAGCCCCAACGCACTCCAAGAAAAGACATCCGCGTCTCCCTCCGGCACCAGGCGGAAGCAGGGCCTCGTTTAGTTCGGCCACCGAATCGCCGCCGCCGAATTTCCGGGTAGCTGCATATTTGGTAATAATTGTTAATTAAGCTCAAAACGTTCGTCTCGTAAAGTACAACTAAATTGTGCAATTAGTTTTTAATTTCGTCAATATTTAGTATCTATGTATATAACACAAGTTTGATGTGACGAGAAATCTTTTTTTTTTGTATAATGTCAAATTCTAGAATTAGGAGTAACTAAACATGACTCAGATAGAAAAAGGTGTGATTTTTATTGAGGGAAATCCATCGATCCCCGGATTCCGGTGGTGAGCACCGCACACGCACGCGCACTGCGGAACGGCGAGCTCGAGCCGGAACTGACTGATTGATTGCCCGCCCCGTTCCGTTCCCCAGTGTTTTTTTTTTTTACTGGGAGTGGGAGATGAGGAGGAGAGCAGAGATCCTTTTTGCTGTGCCTGTGTGCGCTGTGCAGTTTTGGGCTTTTGCTATTTCTTGGTTCTTGAGGCCTGCTGGGTCAAATCTTTGCCAAGCAGTCAAGCACGTTTGGGCCTGTTTTCTTTGAATTCATGCTTATTTAGCATATCGGATCCTCTGTGTAGAAATAAACCTGCTAGCGGGCTGCAATCTGCGCTAAAACCAGACCAGGCCATTTTATTATATAACTATAACTAAAAATATATACTCCCTCCGTCCCGTGATATCTGTCGATTGGAATTCATGCTTATTTGTCTTAAATCCTCAAACTCTTTGCACCTCTGTTTACTGACCAAAATTTATTTTGTTGGTTAAGTTGCCTGCACATCATCTGATCTGATTGCTTGGTCTTTGGATGCGGCGAAAAGCGTGACCACACAATATGCTGTAACAGAGGAGATGTGTGACCTGTATATATCCCTTTTTTTTATCTAGGAAGGTATATTTATGGGGCTGTTGGGTACAGCTCAGCTTCACCGGTGAAGCAATTTTTGTTAGCTTTGGCTCCAAAAGCAGCTTTTTCGGTAGAGTTGAACCTATTTAATGAACCATTTAGTGAAACAGTTTCTTCTGGTAAAGTATGAAATGATAAAATTGCCTCTTTTTCTTTTTTTCCCTCCTCCATCTCTTTCTTATCCATTCAGCTGGCCCTCTCGCACGAAGCCTTGTCCTACTCGCCTCCGCCGCCACCCCTGCCCCATCCTGCTCGCCTCCACCGCCGCCCCGCCCCGTCCTGCTGGCCTCCGCCACCGCCCTGCCGCCACAGCCTCGTCCAGCTCGCCCCCGCCCTGCATGGATCGGAGCTTGTCGGTGTTTCGAGTAAACACCAACGAATAAATTTCTAATATTGCGCGTCTGGCTCGGATGGTGTGCTAAGAGGACACGAGGTTTATACTAGTTCGGGCAGAATGTCCCTACGTCTAGTTCGCTGCTGCTGCTCGTGTTATTAGCACTGAAAGTTCGTAGTAGGGGTTACAAACGAGCAAGAGAGGGACATGTCCCAAGTCTCTGATGGAAAGAGCGAACGGGTGCCGAGAGCTCGATCACTACTCGGCTGTGTGTTTGTGGTTCGATGGGTTTGTTGGTCAGATGATCAGATGAATTGATCGTCCGATGATCCGATGCCAGCAGTTTCGATGTGTTCCGATGCCCCTAATGTGACGCCCTGCTTTCCCTTTTATAGGCCAAGGGAAAGCAGGGGTTACAGCGGAGGAAGTGAGGAGAACGAGATGGAGGAAAAGTTCTTCAGGATCGCTGGGTCCTTCTTCTCCTCCATGCGGGTCTCGCCGATCCTGTAGACGTCAATAGGGACAGCTTCACGTCGCGGCCCTGTCCATCACTAGCGCCACGCGCAGGTGTCATTCGCCGGTCATGGCGCTTCCACTCCGCCCTGGCGAACATCGTGGCGAACTGACGTGCCCGTCAGTGTTCGTACGAGGGTTAGGTAGAACAGCACCGGTACGCCCGACGTTGTTCCTGATGTGAATCCCCTGATATGGCCCATCATGGCCACAGGTTGTGTCGGGGCATGCCGGTCACCTCTCTAGTGTCAGAGCTTTGACCCATGCCCATTCGCTAGGACCTGGAGTGGTTGGCGGCGGTATGGGTCTCCGTCGGGCGAGACAGATGCCCCGCCCTCTGGGTAGGGCAAGGCGGAGCCAGCCCCTAGACGTCGGGCGAGGCAAAGCCCGCCCTCAGAGGTCGGGTGAGGCGGAGCCAGCCCCCAGACATTGGGCGAGCCGGAGCCCACCCCCAAAGGTCAGGCGAGGCGGAGCCCGCCCCAGACATCAGGCGAGTCAGAGCCCGCCCTTAGAGGTTGGGCGAGGTAGATCCGACCCTCGGACGTCGAGCGAAGCAGAGTCAACGCTCCAAGGTTGGGCGAGGTGGATCTGGCCCTCGGACGTTGGGCGAGGTGGAGTCAGCCCTCCGAGGTCAGGCGAGACGGAG